CCCCCACCCCTCTGCTGGGGTCGCCTTGCCAGCCCCAAGCCAGGGGCGCGATTCATCTGCTTTACATCTGCATATAAATAAGCCAGTAAATAAATAAGTAAAACTTGGCGACTCTCCCACCAGCTGGAACAGCCCTCTTTGTAGGTGGACGGTCGCCAAGCTCCCGGTCATAAGAGACCGCGTGGTAGGGAAAAACGCAGGGCTATCTTTTGTCTTCTCCCTAAAAGTGAAGGGAAACACATAGACACGCCCCCCGAGGTTTTATTACGTCCTGCGCAAGGTGGTGGTTATGCAGTGCCAGTGAAAGAGAAGAGAGAAGATTCCGTGAGAGCTGGTAATGAGTTCTGGTTTTAGAAGCAATCAGAAGAATAATTGCATGATTTAAACATTTACTAAGTTTTTTTTTAAGTCTCGCTCTCTCTCCTCCTGGACTCTCCCGCTCTCTCCAGCCCACTCCAGGGCTCATGCCCCCAGCTGGGGCCACCCCACACCCCCAGTTCCCGGGTTGTTGGCAGGAGGGGCTCTGGGCTGCCCACCCCCATCCCGGCCTGCCTTCCCGTCAGCCCCCTGGCCTGGCCTGGACCTCACCGCTCCGGACTGAGAATCCTCTCTATAGCTGTCTGGAACTGTGTCTCTGGCTCATCCCTGGTGGGCCTCCTCACACATCTCCTCCTGTAATAAAGAAAAACCGGGTGCCGTGGATTTGACCCGGACTGCGGCGACCCCCGTGTGTGTCAGAGTAGAGCTGTGCTGCGTAGGGTTTTCAGTGGCTGAGTTTTTGGACGTAGCTTGCCAGGCCTTTCTTCCTTCTCTAGCAGTGCTCACTGGTGCTTCCTCAGCTCTGATGCGGCCTCTGGGGGTGGATCTCCGTCTTGCCTCATCTCTGTGTCTCTGCACTGGCCGTGGCACAAGTGAACATTCCAGCTGTGTCCGTGTGAGTGGGCTGAGTCAGCACCATCCCCCTCTGCCCCCTGCTGTGTCCAGCCAGGCGTGGACGGAGCCCCGGCAGGGAACAAGGCTGCCCCCTCCCCTCACTGGCCCCGTCTGTCCCGCCGCGACTGAGCCTGCCTGCTAGTCCTACGGATGCTGCATACGGACGGTGGGATGGTGGGGACCTGGTCGCTACCCTGGCCTGGGTGGCCAGCATGTGGCCAGCCTCTAGTGGCTCTTGGCAGCCGTCCCCGGCCACACCGCCCACCACATCCTGAGGGGGCCCAGGCCCTGGTGGGGAGAGCGGTTTGTAACCCCGGCATGGCGACAGTGGGCGTGGTCTCAGCGAGTTGGGAAATGGCTGTGGCCGCTGCTTCTCAGCTTCACCCCAGAGCCCTCAGGAGCTGGACGTGGCCTGCTAGCGTGTCAGGGGCTTTGCCTGGGGGGACACTTCGTCATGCAGGTTACTGGATAGAGCTGTGCACCAGGCGGGGAACAGTCAGCACAGCAGCCACGTGTTCACAGGGTCGGACGAGCCCAGAAGGCCAAGGCCCACCCCAGGACTCACTGCTGCCCCTGCTTGCACCCACGCACCTGAGGCCGGGTCCCGGGCACCCCCACTCAGACACCCCACCACCCCAGCTTTCTTCCTGCCCCCGCCTTTGCCAAGACTCAGTGTGGCTGGGCAAGGGCTCAGAGCCGAACCTCCTGCAGGGACACGGGGAGCCCACGCCAGCCGGCCCTCAGCTGCCCCTGCTCACGGGGAGGGATCGTAGCGCATAGAGCCACCCCACGTGGGTGGGTCTCACCTGGGATGCCCGTAGAGGGCCTGTCATCCCCGGTGCTGACTGGGGCTGGTGACTCGCCTGGGGCTGGCCAGCACAAGTGTCCACGCGGCCGCTTCCCGATACTGCGCAGTTGTGAGCTACGTGGTGGGGTCTGGGCGGGAGCGACTGGGGTCAGGGCCAGCCTAAACCTGGTTCAAATCCTGGCTCGAGCGTTTCCAGCTGCGTGTCGCTGGACAAATGACTTGGCTGCCCTGTGCCTCGGTCTCCCTTTCTTCACCGTGGGCAGTAGAAGGTGCCCCCACGCGGTGTGGCCAGGCTGAATAAGCCTCTGCCTGGGACGGAGGCCAAGTGCAGCCAGGCCAGGCTCAGCGGCCAGGCGGGCTTGTTGGCGGGCAGGACTTGTCTACAGCCAGAACGGGCATGGTTCAGTGCCAGGGTCAGGGCTCTGTATATGGTGGTCATGCCCCCCCGACAGGGTTGCGTGGTACCCGGGAGTCTGGTGAAGGTCACAGTCTTGGCTCATGATCTTGATACTGACCTCAGTGTGGAGTTTACCTGTGGACTCCGCACCCGGGGGGCCACGCCCCCTCAGAGGCAGTGGTGATGGGGGCCAGAGCCAGCTTGGGCCTGGGGCCACCAGCATCCGTCCGCTCCCCCAGCCACCTGTGCCACCCACGCGCCCTGCAGTTCCGCCTGAGTGAGACCTGTGGCTGACGCTCACTCCCGTCCCCTTCTAGCCACGGCAGATTCCCACAAAGCGCCGCTGCCCGCCCCCGCCTCCCGCACTTCAGTCCAATAATTGAATTGCGATTGATGGTGCAAGATCATGCTAATCGCTTCGTTTCCCTGAACTCTCCTAAGGGAGAATGAGTCTCCTGTAACGTCTGTGGTGGGGTGACAATCAGTCCTGGCTCCAGGGCACAGCAGTCGGTGAATGTGCCCGGGCAGGGGTCACGCTGCACCCTCCCTGCCTTGGCCTCTGCCCGTGGAGGGGCTTTCCCAGCTCCGCTTGATCCAGCCATGAGCTGGGCGCCCTGCGAGGGCTTTTGCATGGCTGGGTGCTGGAGATGGAGACTGGGTTTGCTCAGGGTGCCAGAGACGACAGCAGCCCCAGCTGGTCAGTGGTGGCTGTCCTCTGTGCAGTGGGCACAGCTATGGATCCAGCTCGGCCCTTTTCTGAGAGACCTTCAGGACCTCTCAGTGCTCCTGTTCCATCCTTGCAAATGACTGCAGTGATCTGCCCTCACAGGTGCTACCAGGTGTGAAGGTGATGTGGCTCGCCCAGCACAGCTGCAGGTGCATGGTCTGTGAGCCATGTGGCCATTTCCCTCATGAGCATTTCTGACACATTAATGGGCAAAAGGAACTAAGATGAAGTTGGGCAGGGTGGAGGATGCAAGAAGCCAGCCTGACATGCCAGGGTGGGAGGCTCCCCAAAGTCCTAGCCTGTTTCTGTTCCTTACCCCATTCAGTGGCTTCATGGAGTCACTCAGTCTTTGGATAGCAAAGGGTTTACCATCTACCCACCCATTCATCTACTCATCTCTTCATCTATCTACCTACCCATCCAACCATTCGTCCACCCATCCAACAACTCATCTATCCACCCATTCAACCGTCCACTCATTCATCCATCCATCCACCCATCCAACTATCTACCTACCCATCCAACCATCCACCCACCCACCCTCTTATCCATCCATCCATCCACCCACTCATCCAATCATTTGTCCACCCATCCAACAACTCACCTAACATCCATTCAACCAGCCACTCATTCATCCATCTCTCCATCCATCCACCCACTCATCCAACCATTTGTTTACCCATTCAACCACCCACGCACCAACCCTCCTATCCATCTGTCCATCCATCCATCCATCTATCCACCCATCCAACCATTAGTTCACCCATCCAACTACCCAGCTACCACCCAGTCAACCATCTACTCACCCACCCTCTCATCCCTCCATCCACCCACTTATCCAGCCATCCACCCACCCACCCTCCTATCCATCCATCCACCCACCCACCCTCCTATCCATCCATCCACCCACCAACCCTCCTATCCATCCATCCATCCACCCACCCATCCAGCCATTTGTTTACCCTTTCAACCACCCACCCACCCATCCTCCTATCCATCTGTCCATCCATCCATCCATCCATCCGCCCATCCATTTGTTCACCCATCCAACCACCCAGCTACCCACCCATTCAACCGTCTACTCACCCACCCTCTCATCCATCCACCCACCCACCCCATCCTACCATTCACCTACCCATCTAACATTCATCCACCCATCCAACCACCTACCTACCCACCCATCCAACCATTCACACAACCAATTACCTATCCATCCATCCATCTAGCTATCCATCACCCATTCATTCATCCATTTACTGACCCATCTAATCATTCACCTACCCACCCATCTAGCCATTCACATAGAAAACCACCTATCCATCCACCTATCCATCCATCTATCCATCCATCCACCACCCATTCATCCATCCATTTACCCACCCATCTAACCATTCATCCACCTACCCACCCATCCAACCATTCACATAGCCAACCACCTATCCATCTACCATCCACCCACCCATCCATCCATCCATCCTCCACCCACCTACCCACCCATCCAGCCAACCACCTATCCATCCACCCACCCATCCACCCATCCACCCATCGTCCATTCTCCATCCATCCATTTACTCACCCATCATCATGCATATGTCCTGTTCCTTCAGTATTTACTGAGCAGCACTTGTGTCTGGCCTATCCTATGTGCTGGTTACACAGAGATGGAAAGGTAGGACCATCCTGTCAAGGAGCCCCCAAGCAAGTTGGGGTGTGGGCATGAGGTGTCTGCAGGGTTGATGGCTGCAGTAGAGTGTCCTGCTCTAGAGTCTCTCCCTTTCTCTTGTCAGGCCTCCAGGACACCACTGGTGACTCGGCTGTGTCTTGTACTAGATCACAGACCCCTCGGTGCCCAGTCAAGGAGCCCATGTCCCTGGGATACTCGGAAAGCTTGGGATGTGACCTTGGTGTCAGGAGTGTTCAGATCCCAGCCCGTCTCTGACTTGCTGGGTGACCCTAGGCCTGCCTTCTCTGACAGGAAGTGGCCAGACCAGCTGGTCCCTAGATACTCCCTTGTCCTTGGTTCTGTGGACTTCCCCTGCTGCTCTGGGCTCACTCAGCACTCTCTAATGGGCCATGCCCCTGCAGGTTGCACAGCCATTCATATGCCTAACACAGCCGCCATCTTGTTTCTACAGAGCGACTTGCTGGATGTGAACCAGATCATCAAGGATTTAGCCTCCATGGTGTCGGAGCAAGGAGAGGCCATTGGTAGGTGCCCCACTCCACCCACAGGTCACCTGCCGGCCGAGGGCCTGCTGCCGCTCCCCAGCCACCACCCTTCCTCCAGGTGTGGGGGAGGCCACCTCGGGATGAGTGGGCCCAGGGCCAGAGCTGGAGATCCAAGCCTCTGCTCCCCTCCCCCACCTCCCAGCTGTCTCCCCAACCCCTCAGGAAGGTCAGGTGTCGGGGAGAAGCTTATACAGGACGGCACCCTTCATTCTGCCTCTGAGGGAGCCCCTGGCCTCTGTGCCCCCACCCACCCCGGCCTTCCTCCCCATGGACTCCAGGGTGTGCAGACAAGGTGCTTGGACGTGGGGTGGGGAGCCTCCATGTGTCCTGACTCTGCTCCTGACCACCCAGAGCCTCACTGCTTCTCTGTGGACCGGGAGGGGTGCAGCCGTGCAGGGCGGGCTGTGTGGGAGGAGATGGGCACGTGGAGGTGGCGCAGGGAAGCACCCAGGCCTGGCCAGGGCGGGGTGTTAGAAGACCACCCCCCCGGGACAGACAGACACCTCCGCCCACTAGGCCGACCCCGGAAAGCCTCAGGCACGTTCCCGCCTTCAGCCCTGCCTTTCTCTTAAAGGAGGCAAACTGCAGAGGGTCACAGGTGACACCAGCGGGTGACAGGAGGGGCCCTGGGTGTGTGGGGGTGGAAGTTGCAGCCCTGCCCCTGGGCTCCCTGCTCATACCCAGGGGCCAGGCCCCCATGCACCAGGGCACCGGCAGGCCCTGGTGGGGAGCAGCTGGGATGAGGAGGGAGTGTCAGCGAGGAGGGCTGGCCCCCCCATAGACAGGGACACAGGCCAGAGGGCTGGAGACACCCTGCCTGAGCCTATCGACTCCTAGCCGCCCGTCCTGGCTCATCCTTGGTCACCCACTGCCAGGAATTGGGGGCCACTCTCGGCCGTCCCTATGGGTACCCTGTAGAGTCACTTACGGGGTTTCCTGCAGAGGTACTCCTGTGCTGCGCCCCAGGTCCCAAGACTTTAGCTGCAGCTAAAGCTCCCTGAGCTGCCCACCCCTGCCCGCCAGGAGCTGGCCTGGTGCGTGGACAGGCACCCACAAAGAAAGCAGGAAGACCAGTTCCTAAAACCCGCCTGTTTATTGAGTCCAGGCTGCAAGCTGGGCCAAAACTGTATTGAAAACGGAGCAGGTGAAGTGGTGGCAGACGGCCACGGAGCAGGAAACAGCCCTTTTCAGGGCCTGGGCCGCCTGTGTCTGCTGGGTGCCCTCCTAGGAGGCGGCTGCAGCGCTGGCTGGCACGGTGACGGGGCCCAGCTGTGACTCCTGGGGCGCCAGTCTCTGCTCACCTGCCATGAGGCTGCACTGGACACAGGTGTGGTCACGTGGTGGCCTCGCCTCATCTGTGCCGCCCCCCCGAAGGAAGGCTCAGGGTACAGGGGGCTCCGGTCAGGCTTCCAGACATTGCCGCCCCTCCCACAGGGCCGACACCCCTGAATCCCAGGTAGACTGCTTGCGGCCCCCGGCCCGGCCTCTGTCTGTTCAGCTAGGGAAGGGCTGCCCAACGGGAGCCGGTTCCAGGTCCCCACAAGAGCTGGCCCCAGCCACCAGGCTCTGCCACACCCCAGCCTCGCCATGTCTGCTCCCTCGCCGACCCACTGCCTTACTTCTGACCGGGTGGCAGTGAACGGCCCTGCAGCCTTGCTGGGGCCCAAAGCTCTGAGGACCAGGCGTTACCCGTGGCCCACGGGGCAGCTGTCCATCTCTGGGTGCTGCGCCGAGGGCTGGGGCTCCTCCCCGCTTCCCGGGGTGCTTCCTCGCTCTGCAGAGCCCAAGCTTCCCGGGAGGCTGAGCTGCGGCCAACAGCTTGCCTCTGGGGTGCCCCGTCCCCCTTGCCCACTCTCTCCCTCAGCCTGGCCGCAGGTCAGTGAGGTGGGCCTTGAAGAATGGCGTGCATAGCCGTCCCAGTGACGACTGACCTGGGGTCTGTCTCCTGTGGGGCAGGCACAGCACCCCCAGGAAGCTCTCGGGGAGTGGTCGTGGGCCGGAGGCGGGCTAGGCTAAGCAGCCAGGGCCAGGGCAGGTAGGGGAGGCTCCTGGAGTAGCAGAGACTTCCTCTGTGCTGGGCCTTGGGCCCCTGAGTGCCAGGTGCCGCGTGTGTTTCTGCGGTGACCCCGGGACCCGGGCTGGGGCCTGGGCCGCCCCTCTGGGATGCACAGCCTCGGCCCAGCCTCTGGTGCCTTTCTAGGGTCCAGTGGCAGAGGCAAGGCCACCTGCTGGCGAAGCTGCAGCCCTGAGCCTGCCGAGGCGACCCTGCTGCCAGGTGACAGGCCGGGCCCCACACCCCTGTGTCCGGGCACCCACTCCCGCACCAAGACGCGCAAGCCCAACTTCAGCCCTCAGGAGACCGAGGTGCTGGTGCAGAAGGTCACGAGGCATTACCCACTGCTGTTCGGGGCGCTGCGAGGCCCACCCGCCCGCAAGCACCGCGTGTGGAACCGCATCCTGCAGGCCGTCAACGCGCTGGGCTACTGCCGCCGCGACCTGGGTGACCTCAAGCACAAGTGGAGGGATCTGCGCGGGGTGGTGCGCAAGAAGCTGGCGGAACAGCCCTGTGCCCCGGCGGGAGGCGGCCCCGTCCTCGTCCTCACGCCCATCGAGCGCATGGTGGCAGAGACCTTCTCTGCCCTGGCCCCCCCGGGTGAGGGCCACGGGGCTGAGCCCCTGCCAAGTAAGTGGACCCTCCCTGTGTGTGTCCCCCAGGCAAAGGGGGAGCTGGGGCCTAGGAGCTGGCCCTGCACGTCCCCCCGCCCCCGGCCCCCATGTCTAGATGGGGAAACCGAGGCTCAGGGCCAGGGAGGAGCTGCCGTCCTGATATCAGAGGAGCTGGGCCTCAGGCTCCTCCTGCCCCCCAGCTTAGGGTCTGCTGGGGTTACCCCGCACCAGGAGCAGTGCAGCCCAGGGCCTCAGGTGACCCTCCCGTCCATCAATTTCGCTGACGTTGAAAGGCAGCCAGGTTTCTACAGCTCCGAAGGTCCCAGCAGAGAAGCCCCCACCCCGCTGCTGCCCGCAGGGTTAGAAGACACGCCCACCTTCTTCACCGCTGGGAGGCCCCTTTGCACTTGTCTGAGGGCCTGAGCCAGAGAAGGGCCGCATCCTGAGAAAACGGGAAGGGTCAAAAAAAGGGTGAGACCTCCTGCTCTCCATACACCCACAAGAGAGGGGCGAGGCGGGCAGGCAAGGCCTGGGGCTGGGCCAGAGGCCGCTCATCCCCGGTACTGCGGAAGGACCGTTGGCTAACCCACCGTCTGGGTTCCGGCTGTGGTGGGCGAGCGTGCCTTTCCTAGGCTCCGCCTCTCATGGCGCAGCCCTTCTGGGGTTCAGCCTCGCAGGACGCGCCCCTTCCCGTCTGAGCCCATGGCCCACCGCCTTCTCTGGAAGTTTCTGTGCCTGGTGAGGAAGATGGGTGCTTGGCTGGGTCTTTCCCGGCACCAGCCGCCTCCTGCTCCACGCGATGCCGGCTGATCCTCACCACCGCCTCTTCCTCCTCCACACTGCGCCTCCTGCCGCCGCCGTTCCTCTGCCCTCCTCCAAGGCCCGTGGGACCAGGGGCGCCTCCCACACACTTCCTCCACCGGCAGAGCCACCCCGGACCCTGCTGGAGCTGCTGAAGGACTCTGGGGAGCAGGACGGCCCCCTCCTCTCTGGTCCCTCCTGAGGCCCAGCATGACAGCAGGGCTCAGCCACGTGGACACAAGCCGGCCGGCAGCCTCCGAACACCCGGATGGGTTCAGGCAGAACTGTAGTGGCCACGGACCCTTGCCGGCGCCTTCAGCTGCGCGTTCTAACGGGGGTGACTGCGACCGGGTGGGGCCGTGGGTCTCTGAGAGCCTGAGCCGCTGGGGAGACGTGGACCCAGAAAGCCCAGGCCCTGGGGACGGCCGCGGGGGGAGGGGGCGGCTTGGGGGCGGAGCAGGGTCGAGCCTGGGGGGCGGGCCTGGGGGATGAGCCCTGGGGCAGGCCCGGGAGGTGGGCCGAGCTGGAGGAGGACCTGTCTGTGTGGGGCTGGGGCGGGCTGTGACCCAACCCCCGGGGCCCACCTAACCCCTAAAGGACGGATCTTATGGTCTGCGCAGAGGCCAGCTTGGTGGGGGGTGCGCTGGGGCGCCGTGCACGGGCGGTGGAGGGCTGGCGGCGGGTGGAGCATGGGGGGACCGGCTGCCCAGTCCCGCCCCAGTAGGTCCGTCTCCCCGGGGAGCCGACAGGAGCTGGAGCCCCCTGTGCGGGCGAGGCTCCGGAGGCCTCCGCGGACGGCCTCACTGACTGGCTGGTTTGGTTGGCGGGAGCTCCTTGTGGGCGTGGCCTTACGGGTGACGTCAGAGATCATGGGCGTGGCCTGCCCGGTTGACTTCACAGCATTTGTGAATGATAGGGATGCATGGGTGGGGCCGGCACCCGGTGGGCAGGCGACCGTTGGGGCGCAGGCAGGGGCTGCAGGAGGCTGGGAGTGTGGGGGGTATGTCACAGCTGAAAGGTCCCCCCAGCACTGGCCTGGGACCTTGGCCTTCAAGTGGAGGCGACCGCTCAACATCGTCACCCAGGACTGGGAGGAGGAGCTGGGGGCGGGGTTCTCTCTGACCCTGGAGGCCATGGGGGCCGAGGACAACCCCTGCAGCCCCCGCAGTCCCCCGCAGTCCCCAGCCCTGCAGGAGGACTTCCTCTGTAGAAACATCTGCGCCTTCCAGGCAGCTGAGCCGAGACCTGTGGACCAGGACCCGTGGTCTGTCCTGTGTCCATGGGCGGCCTGGCCTACCAGGGTGGCCTCAGCCCTTCCCCTCTGCCTTCCTAAGAATGACCCGCTACCTCAGAGACAGGAGCTGGCGTGTGGCCGGTGCCCGAAGTGGTAGCTGTGGGTGAATAAATCAAATGCCTAGGCCAGTCCTTCTTTCTCATCCTTGTCTAGGCCCTTGAAGAGGGAGTGATCCTCGGATATGCCGTGTGGGGTGCTGGCTGCAGCTCCTGGTGCCCAGGGGAGGCAGAGGCCCTTGCCCACAGCCTCCTCACTTCCTTGGGCGCCACGGAGCCTGTCCCCACCCAGCACCCTGACTCATGCTGGACAGGAGCCCCTGGAGGACGCTCCCAGATAGGGTGACCACCTCGTGGACCCCAGGAGCACTCTGGCCAGCATAACAAGTGGGCTGGGGCAGAGGGTCTGTGGCCCCTGGTGAAAGGGTTAGAGTGGGGCCCAGGCCAGTGACCTTGACAGAGGGACTTTTTAAAGATGGGACCCGTGGGCCCTCCCTGCCCGGGGGCTTGAGAAGATGGGAGCCATGCTGTCCAGATCCGAGCAAGGCTCCCCAAGATGCAGACGGGCTGGTCAGAGCCACAGAAGGCAGGACTGACCCTGGGACCTATACCCGTGGAGCAGGTCACACCCAGGGGTGACGAGGCACCAATAGCAGTGCCCCGGAGTGTGACGAGATCTTTGGTCCATCCCCCAGCCTCAGGCTAGGCAGGGCCGAGCCCAGGGCTGCACAGCTCTGCAGCGGAGCTGCAAGATTTGGGTTGAGGTCTTTCCGCCTCGAACATTCTTACTAGAATGCCCGTTTTGGAGGCATGTTCTCTCAGGCAGTTCTTCTTTCTTTGAAGAACCAGCAGACTTAAGATAAGTGCGTGTGATTTGTTGACCAGCGTAATGGCGGCTGGTCTCTGTCGGGCGGCGTGAGCAAGGTTCACGCTGCTGTGTGATCACACGCGTCTTTGCCTCCTGGGTGGGTGCTGGCTTCATCCTGTTGGATAGATGGGAAACTGAGGCACAGAGAGCTGCCTCGTCCCTTGCCCCATAAAGGGATCTCTCATCTTCATTATCTGAGGTCCATATGCCGCCTCCACCAGGCGATGAGTCCATAGTGGGCCCAGGTGGGCCGAGTGACGCGTCCATAGTGGGTTGGGTGGGTTGGCTGCTGTTTTACGGGTATCCCTGTTTTGCTTTTGGCACACACGTGGAATATTCTGGTTTCCTGGTGCCGCCTCGGGTGCCTAGCAACTGCCGGACTCGTTGGGGCTCCCGTGGGCACGTGGCGCATGCAACATTTTGGATGCTGTGTTCAAACTCCTTTTGGCTCTTGTTTGCCCGAAGTCCTCGTGGCCAGTAGTCTCACACCACATCCGAATTGCCGGTTGGTCGCTGGATCTGCCACTTGTTCGGCACGTGCTGACCCCGGGGCCCTACAGACCCGACCGTGTCTTCAGAATAGTCTGCAAGACAGGGAGGGGGTGTTCCTTCCCTTCGCAGGGGTCCAGGTCCAGGGAGTGGAAGGCTGCCTGGGGATCAGTCATGGCAGAGCCAGGACTTGCCTGACCTCCACCCTTCCTGAGAGGTCCCCACCCACCCAGAGCAGGGTGCTGAGAAGGGCCCATCCCCCAGTCCTGGCAGCACTGGCCGCTGAGCAGTGCCAGACAGACGGGGCCCCTTGGAGAACCCATGGTGGCCTCAGCCACACCCCGAGGGCTCCTGTGGAAGCTTCTGACGACTGTGGTGGTTACCAGAGGAGCAGCTGTGACACCAGGGTTGTCCCATCCCCAGGGCTGCCCCCCCAGCGGCTCCTGGGCTGGGCTCCCCAGGGCTCGCCTTGAGGGTCCCGGGCCAGGACGAGGGGTCTCCGTGGTAACCGCCTTCTGTTGTCTTGATTTGCAGACAGCATTGAAGCCAGCATCGAGGCCGCTTCCTCGCAGGTGGAGTCGGCCCAGGAGCTCCTGGCGGGAGCCAGCCGGCACCAAGTAAGTCGGTGTGAGGCAAGAAGGCACCCCACCCCAACGCCGCAGGGCCAACCGTCTGTCCGTCCATCTGGGAAGCCCAGCCCTGCCCCGGTGCGGTGCGTGGGAAGGCATGCCTGCAGCGTCTTCCCTGAGTGGCCCAGGCTGCCTCAGGCCCTGGTGGCTGCAGCCAGGGTGCAGGGTCGGGGGCGTGTGCTCGGTGATAGCCTCAGCCATGGTCTCTGTGGCGCCCACTGCATTGCTACCAGCTTCTCTCGGCACTCCCTGCCACCGTACCCCTGGGCGCTGCACAGTGGGCCTCCCCTGACTGGGAGCGCGGGTGGGCAGGGTGCCTGCGTCGCTAGAGGTCCTGGGCTCCCCTAGAGCAGGAGCGCACTCGACTGTGACCCGTGTTTGCGAGCTGCTCCTGCAGAAAGCCCTGGTGCCCCCTTTCTCCCAAAAGATCTAGTGCATCTCTGTCTTTGCTGCTTCCAGGGTGCAGCCGTGGGTGCTGGGTGGGGATGGGCCATTGTGTGTCAGCCCCGGCTGCTCTGGGCCTGACTGTGGAGAGGGGACCTTCCTCCTGCAGACTGCCTGGGGCAAGCTGACTGACTTGGAGGGGTTGGGCACAGAGCTCAGGTCTTTAGTTGCTGGAGGGGAGTACCCGGGTGCCGTGCACCCTTAACACTTTGAGTCCACCCAGAGCCATCTGAGAAGACAGGCCTTGAAGAATCAGCCCTTGAAAATGCTATAGAGCAGAGTTCTGTTCCGACACACAGAGTCATGAGTTGGAGTTGACTTAATGACTACTGATTGGGGTGCTTGGGGACCGGGACTGTGCGGGGACCGACCAGGCCAGGCTGATCCCGGCCCAGGGCCTCTCCATCGCTCGCCCGGTCACTCCCTGTGGCCCTGGCAGGGGAGATGACCACTCCCGGCCCCTCCCTGAGTGCATGCTGGGGCGGGGGAGGATCACAGAGGCCTGCAGCCCAGTCCAGCACAGACGAGGTGCCCAGACCAGCAGGCATGTTCTCTGGGCGTGTCCATGCTCTGTCCTGAAGGACGGGCAGTCGTCCAGGCAGCAGGACAGTGTGCCAGAGGCCAGAGGAAGAGCGTCGCGGGGGGCAGGTGGTGGGCTGAGTGGTGAGGTGGGGTGGCTGTGATGGGCAGAGCCGACAGGGGGTTGGGCGGAGGGCTGTGTGGTGGGGGTGGTGTCTATGATGAATGGAGCGGAGACGTGCTGAAGAGATGGGGCGCCATGATCCTCCGCTCAGGCTGCTTAGGCTGTGGGTGGGCTCTGCTGCTGGGCTTTGCGTGGGCTTTGTGTGGGCTTGGCAAGTTCACTGTGGTTGCATTGGGGGGTGGGAGCCTGAGCACCGTTGCAGCACACCTCCGCGCAGCATGCCCTCCGGCTCGCACTCCGAGTGTCTAGTGGGTGAGCCTTGGGGTGAGGGTGGAGGCTGACCCCTCCTGGGCCCCCCTTTCCTCTGTCAATGGCCACTCGGACTCAGAGGTCAGGGCAGCCAAGGACCTCAGTGGACGCCAGGCCCGGGAGGAGGCAGCAGGTGTGCCTAAGGTCTCGTGCAGAATGGCCAGTCTCCTGACTTTGACTTGGGGCTCCTCCAGCCCCATGCATGGCCTTGAGGCCTCCAGCATATGAACCTGGCGCTCTAGCCCTCCACTTGGAACCTCTCCACCAGTGGCCAGTGCTCCACCTGGTCCTTCCTGGGCCACCCTGGACTGGTCGGTGGTGTCTGCAGCTGCCCTCCGAGCCTCACTTAATGGGAACTCTCCTGAGCGGCAGTGCGCTAGAGCCCACTCGTCACTGAAGCCAGCATCTCAAGAGGACAGCAACGGACTCACAAGATGGCTTCCTCTCTGAGCGCCTGGGGTTGACTGGTCGGAAGGATGTGCCTGGGAGAGCAAGAGGAAGAAGTGCCAGTGAGGAGAAGGAGGAGAAGAGGAGGAAGGAGGAAGTGGAGGAGGAGGAAAAAGAGGCGGTGGCAACTAGGCCATCACCTGTGCCCATGGACACCTCATCAGGTACAGACTCCCTGGTGTGTGCCCATTGAGCCCATGGCCGACTCTCTGGGACAGTGTCAGGGCTGTCACCAGCCCATTTCCCACTACACAGCAGGAACTATCCCCACTTTATGGGTGAGGTGGACGGGGCTCAGAAACATGAGATCACCCCCAAAGTCACTGCCATGTGCTCACATCATCCTGCTGCCACCACAGCAAGGGTCCTTCCATACTCGTCAGGCAGTGTCCAGCAACGCAGGGCATCTCCGCAGCCCCACTTCTCAGGCAGTCAGCTTTCCTGGGTCTTTACTGATTTCTCCTCCACACTTACAGTGAGCTTAGAGATCCCTAAAGCCATTTGCAGATTAGGAATTTGAGACCAAAGTAGAGAAAGATCTTTTGTAATGTCACATGGCCGTCGAGAGGCAGAGTGGGTTTGGAGCCCAAGTCTACGTGATTCCAAATCCAGAGCTTTCCCTGCTGCCCAGGGAAACTCTGCTCTTATGTTCCCCCTCTCATCCTTCTGGGGACAGCCACCTGGGTGGATGGGTGCGTGGACAGACTGATGGATGGGTGCCTGGGTGACCAAGTGGATGGACAGATGGATGGGTACATAGACAGACTGATTGGAAGGATAGATGGGTGCAGACATGAATGAATGGATGGATGGAAGGACAAACTATAGATGGGTGAGTGGATGGGTAAGCAGATGTATGGATGGATAGCCTGATGGACAGGTGGGTGGATGGATGATAGATGAAGGGTGGATGGAAGATGGATGAACAAATGAATGATTGATGGATGGATGGATTGATGATGGATGGAGCGGGGAGGAGGAAAGGGGGAGGGCAGAGGGAAGATAGATGAATGGATGGATGGAAAATGGAAGGAGGCTAGATGGATGGTGGATGAACGAATGGATGGATGGAGGATAGATGGAGGGAGACAGGGAGGGAGGATGGATGGATGGGGGATGGGTGGGTGAATGGATGGTTGGAGGGTGGATGGATGACGGATTGATGGATGGGGGATGGATGGATGGATGGAGGATGGATGGATTGGTGGATGGGTGGATGGATGGTGGATGGGTGGATGGGTGAAGGATGGATGGTGGATGGGTGGGTGGATGGATGAAGATGGATGGAGGGCAGTTGGATGATGGATGGAGAATGGATAGCTGGTGGATGGATGGATAGAAGATGGATGGGTGGTGGATGGATAGTGGATGGATGGGTGGATGGATGGATGGGTGGATGATGGATGGAGGATGGATGGATGGTGGATAGATTGATGGATAATGGATGGGTAGATGGAAGGATGGATGACTGGGTGGTGGATGAATTGATAGATGGATAGTGGATGGTAAGGTATGTGGATGGAGGATGGATGGTTAGATAGAGGATGGATGAGTGGATGGGTGGGTGGATAGATGGGTGGAGGACGGATGGATGGGTGGGTGGATGGATGGTGCATGGATTGATAGACGGAGAATGGATGATGGATGGGTGGATGGATGGAAGATGGGTGGATGGATGGAACATAGATGGATGAAGGATGAATGGTGGATGGATAGCGGATGCGTTGAGGATGAATGGATGATAGATGAACAAATGTTGGACAGATAGATGAGTAGGTGAGTGGATGGATATTGATAGATGGACAGACAGGATGGAGATAGATAAATGGACAGCTAGGTGGACGGACGGACGCATAGATGGTGGGTGCAGAGACCAGCATGATGGCTTGGCACACAGAATCAGAGAGATTGAGGCTTGGACTCCAGCCCTGCCACTGACCGCACTACTGGAGCAGGTCCTTTTCCGAGTCTGATGTCCTTTTCCTCAAATAGGGCACCATGCCCACTGCAGAGGGGTGTCATGAGAAATAGCTGTGCAGGGGCCCTCCTACATGCTACTCACAGCCTCTCCCCGCCTCCCTGGTCATTGCCTGCCCATGGCCAGTGGAGGCTGATGGTTCCCTGTCTCCCTGCTAGCTGACGAGGAGGACGAGGCCCCTGGCTGCCTGTGGACCCCCTTGCGGACCCTGAATGGGCCCAGCCTGCCCAAGCCCGATCCCCTGGACCTGCGAGGAGTCTTCCACCTGCCCACCTCCTCACCCTCCCCACCTAACTCCCCTGCCTCGGCCCCCCCAGTCACTGCCTTTGTGGGGTCCTTCCGGTCCTCCCCGCCCCCTTCAGTGCCTGCACCCTCTGTGAAGCCTGCGGTAGCAGCAGCTGAGACATCCGAGTTTGAGCAGCAGCTACTGGACTCGCACCAGCGGCAGGGCGCCCTGCTGTCCTCCTGGTGCCAGCAGCAGGGCGCCCTGATGGCCCAGCAGAACCTGCTGTTACAGCGGCTGGCCGAGCAGAGCCAGCGGCTGGCCGATGGCGTCGAGGCCCTCAGCCGGACCCTCGAGAGGCTGGTGGAGGCGTGTCCGGGCTGGGGCGCCTCACCCTCCACCTCGGACAGCGCCCCTGCTGCTGTAGCACCCTGTGGGCCCTCCAGAGGTTCCCAGGCCAGCCCCCAGGGCACCACTTCCAGCCTTGAGGTGTTCTCGGGGATGATCCTGAAGGTGGAAGAGGAGATCTAGGGTCTGGGCCAGGAGGGCTGAGGTCAGCGGGAGGGTCGTGGACAGTGGGAGGACAGGGCCCGGCCCACAGCCAGATCAGAACTTCAATTCTCTTCTGGAGGCTGGGCTGGGGCCTAGGGGGCAACAGTCAGTCTTCAGGGAGCCAGGCAGCCTGAAGGTCAAGTGGACATGGGACGTTGGCTGCACTGCTCCCCTTCGTCCTGGTATTGGTGGGTGCGGGAGGGACTTTGGGAACCTGTGTGGTGGGAGCCTGGTGAGAGGCCTTCTCAGGGATGATGACAGGGAGGAGGACAGCATGTGGATGAGAGCCCAGCTCCTGGCTGGCCATTCCGGTGCTCTGACGGCCATTGTGAGTGCCGGGAAGATAGAGTAAACGCCACCCTGTGGGCGGGATGCGGGAAGAAGGTGGCTCAGCTGGGTG